CTCTGACAATGCTTATTCTTTAGCACCTCTGTGCTTTTACATGTACCAAATCTATCACTAATCACTATACCTGCCTCCATATTTTTTCACCTCTGGTGTCTGTAAAATAGACCCATTACTCCAAATTATGCTATACTCTGAATTACTCTAGCAATCACAATAGCCTCAAAATGGATATGCTTCAAGAGATAGTGAATTCTGGTGGAAACAGAGATTATATATGTAATCATCAGAAATGCTATATATAGAGAGTATATATGCCAGATGAGGATAGAGAAAAATCTTGTTTCCTTGTGACTTTGAAACTAAGATGTCTATTTTTATAGAAAAATCATTAGGTATTTACCTACTGACATAGGAAGATAAAGATCTTCAAGGTATACTGTCAAGTAAAAAAGTAACCTGAAAAACATTCATATAACCATGTGTATGTATGCACATGTATGTATGCACACCCACACACACTGAATACATAGCAAATTTAATGATTACAATTGGGGAGGAGACTGAAAGTAGTAGTAGGGAGAAATTCAGGAGAACTTAAACTTTTTTTTTTATATATACATTTACCTTGTTTAAATCTTTTACAAGTATCTATTCAAGTTTTACTCGGCCTTTACAACAACAAAACAACACTGAATGGAACACATTGCTATGACTCAGTTTTTCCAGGTCAGACATGAAATAAAATGCTTGCTGCTTGGGGATCAGACCAATGACACTGTCATTAGCACAGCCTGCTAATAAAACAAACAAACAAACAAACAAAAACCATAGTTCTTATATGCAGTTCTACATTAGTACTCACTATAATCTTGTGAGAAATAAGTAGGACAGAAATTGACCCTCAGAAAAGCTGAGCCTCAGTTAGAAAGGGCTTGGCAAAAGCTTTCAAAAGCTTTATTAAAGGGTAGAACTGAGAGACAGTCTTTGGATTTGAAATTCTGGGCTCTTTTCACTATACCACACTAAGCAACAGAGTTATGTGGCTTACAAGGTAATTACCCACCGCCCTTTATTGTCAGAGCTTCTAGGATTAAAAGCTCCAAGAACTCACTGGTTAAAACCTGTCTGGACACCATTATACCAGAAATATAACAGGACCTAACATTATTATCATTTTTCCATTTCTATTAAGCTAATCATGTGTATCCTAATGGATCAACCAGGCAATAAAATCCACTGTGGGTTTGGGGGACCCAATAAATAACACTTCATTTATTCAAATTCATCACAAATAAAGGGTAAAAAGAGTCAGCACAAAAATACCTTTATTACTGATAAAGGATTTGGAGGACAACATTTAAGTATAGATTTCTTAATACTGAATCCCTGAATGAAAGAAACTTTACCACTCAGACACTGGAAATCCTGGAAAACCAAGGCCAGCCCCTCTGACGCCAAAATCGCAGAGAAGCAGAGTACACTCTCTGCATGCAGGCTGGCTCCCCATGAGAATGACAAGATGGGTTTGAGCTAGTAGGCATACTCAAGTTTCTCTCCCAAAAGCACCCAGAAGGTTAAGTGCAGGGACAAAGAGAACTATGCTGCAGGACACTTTAAAAGAAAGACTAAATGTTCTCCCTAACGCAATCCTTCCTGGATTAATTTTCATAAACGATAAGACTAATGGTTACCATACACCAATGGTTCTTAAAGAGTGGTCTAAGGGTCTCTTGAGGGTCCCTGAGACACTCTGGGCTCTGAAAATTAAAAAATAATACTAAGGTGTTATTTGCCATTTTCACTCATGGCACAAATACAATGGTAGTAAAACTGCTGATACTTTAGCATGAATCAAGGTAGCAGCATCAAGTATACTAGCAGCCATCTCTGTCACATCCTCTCAGTAAGAAAACTGCCACTTGCATGTAAGAATATTCTTGATGAAGCAGTAAAATTATTTTTATTAAATCTGGCCCTTGGGTAAACATTGTTTTTTATGTGACAAAAGAGAGTACATGTGAAATGCTTACACTGCATACAAAAGCACAATGATTGCTTTGAAGAAAAGCATTTGTGTGATTGCACTGCAAGCTGAAACAGTTGCTTTTTTCATGGAATAGAATTTTTACTTAAAAGAATAACTGACCAAAAATACTTACAGATACTTATATGGATGTAAAATACAGCATAGTGAATACAGTCAATAACATTGTAATAACTGTATGGTGCCAAGTGGATACTAGACTTATTGCGAGGGTGGGGGGTTGGGCAGGGGGGGTGGAAGTCACTTCATAAGTTATATAAGTGTAACGACTAACGCTGCACACCTGAAACTAATATACTACTGAAGGTCACCTATGACTGAAAAATAAAATTATTTTAACAGAAAAAAATACGAACAGACAAGTATTTGGCGGTGATTCTCTCAAAGTGAGTCTGAGGAAACAACTGACAGTGTTTGTAGTTAATGATAAAAATCAAGCTTTTCAGCAAAAATTAAAATTTAGAAACCTGTATCCACCACTGTGAGTTTGAGAGCCTCCCAATACTTAGACTTGCCCTAATGATACAGAAGGTGAGAACAAATGTGATTTTTTGATACTGAGTAATGGAATGAGCCAACATTTGGGAGATCTGCATAATTCAGTAAACAAATATTTTCCAAATGACCAATGCATGACACGAGATTATGCATTGGTTAATGATCCATTCCAAGTGTACCATTGGCTCTTAATATAACAGAATACAAAGATCACTGAATAGTAAAAAGATCAGGGCTTGCCAGGGGTTAGCTAGGAGGGAGGAATTAATAGATGGAGCACAGAGAATTTTTAGGGCAGTGTAACTATTCTCTATATGACATGACAATGATGGATACATGTCATATATCTGTCGAAACCCATATAATGTATAACACCAAGAGTGAACCCTAATGTAAACTATCAACAGAGTGATAACGATGTGTCAATGTAGATTCACCAGTTTTAACAATTTTACTGTTCTGTAACAGATGTTGACAATGGGGTAGGTTGTGCGTGTGTACTGACAGAGAGTACATGGGAACTTTCTGTACTTTCTGCTCAGTTTTGCAGTGACCCTAAAATTACTCTAAAAAATAAAATATAAATTTTGAATTTAATTTGTTTTTAAAAAGATCACTGATATTATTTTAGATTCCACATTCCAACTATCTTTAAGGAACTACTACATGTCAAGTTTTGGTGCAGCATCAAAAAAAAAGAATATTCACCATTATCTGAAAAGTTCTTCCTTTTCCAAATACATACTCTAAGGATAGCTACTATGCACTAATGAGTTTATTTTGTATTGAGTAGGCGATACATAATGAATACCTGTTATGACACTGATTATCATCATTAGGAGGGCAGAAATGATAAGGACTCAAACTCTACTCTCTCATCTAGGTACACGGAATTCAGTAAATAGATAAAATAATAATTAAATTACCATTTACTTCTATTTTAAGCAATATTTTTAGTGAATGCAAAAAAAAAGTTCTTGCATATTATTAAAACTGACTAGCTGAATAAGACCAAATAGATGAACTCTCAAATAAACAGAACTCAAAAGTTATAGTTGGATGGCAGCCCATGCAATTTTAAAAACTATTAATACAGCTTAATAGGACAATTGTTCTAAAAAGCACAAGCTAAAGAGTCAAGTAGATCCATGTTCAAATTTTACTTTGCAGTTGTTGAAAGGAATAGGGCTAAAATGCTCTGAAGTTTCTAGTACCTTGTACGAGTTTGCTAGGGCTGCTATAACAAAGTACCAGGCTAAGTGGCTTCAACAACAGAAATTTATTTTCTCACAGTTCTGGCAGCTAAAAAAGCAAGATCAAGATTTTGGAAGATTTGGTTTCTTCTGGGGCTTCTCACCTTGGCTTGTTCATGGCCATCTTCTTTCGCTATCTTCACGTGGTCCTCTGAGTGTCTATCCAAATCTCTTCTTGTAAGAGCAATTTAGATTGGATTAGGACTCATACAATCTCATTTTACCTTAATTACCTCTTTAAAGGCCCTATCTCCAAATACAGTTACATTCTGAGGTACTAAGAATGAGGGCTTTGACATATGAATTTTATGAAAATACAATTTTGCCCATAACACATCTTTAAAGTTTAAAGAATGTGGCACTGTGCCTAGCACACAGTGGATCCTCAATATATTGTAGCTATTGCTAAGCAAAAAGAGAAAAGAGAGAACAGTTTCTTAAAGGATTTAATTCTCTCTTAACATTCCTTCTATAATGGCAAGAAACTTTCCCTCACTGACATCAGGTCTTGCACCTAGATGTATGCGTTGTAGACCTAAATAAATAAATCAGCACATTGAGATGGAAATAAAAGCAACAGAAGAGATTGAAGGATAAATTTTTACTCTTCCTAGTGTATTTTCTATTTAAAAGGATCTAACGAAGTTGTGGGGTGAGAAGACAAATGGAGTTTTTAATATCAGACCTGCTTTCCACTTGGTCTCAGAAGTCTGCCAAAGACCCAGATCTATGAAAAGTCAAACTAAGATTGAGTTCCAAAAGGAGATACTTACTATTGCCTGTATTCCACCTCTTCATCCCATCAACACCTATGCAAAAAAGCAATTATACTATTTTTTGAAAATCCACTGCAGATTTACCTAGCTTTATTTATGAGTTTTTTGATATGAATTTTAAATTCAAATTACATCTGTAATATACAAAGCATTAGACAAATGTTATTTAAAAGAATTCTCATGTTACTATTAAAAAACATTTAACTTTGGGTGGTAAAAAGACAATGGAACATACATATGACGTATTATTGAAGTGTACACTTGAAACTTATTTGATTTCATTAACGAATGTTACCCCAATAATTTTCATTAAAAATCTTAGTAATTTGTTTCAATAGTCTAATTTTTATCTAACAGCTAGCATTTGAATGCTTACGATGTGACAGGTACTATGCTTTATGTATGTTATCTCATTTAATCCTTATAACCCTATAAAAACATATTAAAATTATTTTTTAAATCAAGAAAAAAAAATTGATGATGTAGTCTTTTTAAAGAACTTTATTAAGATGTTTCTCACAAATCAGAGAAAAGCTTATTTACCAGTTAAAGGAAAAGTCTTATTTTACTACACAAGTGAAAATCACCAAAGAAAATCTAACACCATAACTGATAAACTCCAGAGTTCCTAGTTTCCAGTTTTTAAACTATACTATAATGTAGTACTCAAAGCTTTCAGAAAGAATACCAAATTCAGTCACTCCTGAAATTATACATAATAGCACTGAGACTACTTCTTTAATTTCTATGTTCACACATGTGCACAAAATAGCCCATCAAACATAAATCTTCCCTTTCATATAAACAGAGATTAAGATTAAATACAATATACAATACAACTTTTTGAAACAACATTACTAGTACCAAAGCAGGGTAGAACACATATGTTACTAATTAAAGAACCAATAGCTCCTTTTTTACTTTAGATGGCGTCAAATGTTCAACAATATTTTAAAGTTTTTTACATAAAGGCTAACATATAAACTATTTTTTTATGAGAGAAATGTACGGACAGTACCCTTAATTATACCCCTGCAAATAGGGCATTTTCTTAGAGAAGGGGCACATTCCTGGCATACTACCAGATGACCACAAGGAATGAATACAATAGAAACTTCTTTGTCCATACACACTTTACAAGTTCTTTCTTCTTGCAATCTCCTCAATTGTTCTTCTAGTGACAAACCTAGTAACAACAACAAAACTTTAGTGAAACTGTTCCTACTTTACCTCCCATTAAAAAAAATAATAGATTTTTAAAATTAATAATTAAATAATAATTTCACATTGGTCTTAAGTCTTTTTGTTTTACCTGAAACATCTTCTGTTGGAATATACTTCATATTCTTTTCCACTGAGGAAAGATAAACATACAAAAAGCATCACTTTACCAAATACAACTCTGCTTAACCCACTATCTATTTTGTTTTATCTACTATTTATTGAACAACAAAGATTCTAGGTATATATTATCAGAAAATATTTAGCCATACTACTTGGGCAATCAAAGTTTTTTAGAACATGTTAAATTATAGACTATAGTTTGCTAATTAGATTTACTGTTTGTCAAATACAAAGATGAACATAATCCCAAGGATTTCTAAAAAATTTTTACCAAAAAACTCACCAAATAAGTTCTTATATAATGCAGAGTCGATTTCTTTTAGACAGTTTTTGAAGATGTTGGCTGCAGCATTTCCTTTAACTAAAACAGTATCAATAAGTTCTCTTGCTTGTAAAGGTATCTGTGTTTTCTGTTTAATTATATCATGTTCCTGTTTATTAATTATATTGGCCTTTAAAAGATTATCCAGAATAGGAAGCACACATGTCAATTGCTGAAAGAGAGCCATTCTATTCTTCCGAATTAATGACAAATCATCTTCATTTAAAAAAAAAAAAAGAAAGAAAAAAAATCCATTAGATTTTAAAGTACTCCTACTAAAAAGAGGGACAAAATTACTTGTTTGCACATTAATGTCTGTCATTTGGAAAACTTCCAGAAGACTTAGCAAAGGTATATTATATAGTATACAGGTAGGATCTGTTTATTGTCTTTTTATAGTTAATATATTTACATGTTTAGAATCTTGCTTTTTCTTTATTGTGTTGAAAGCAAGCAGAGAATGTTAGAAGACAGTAAAAACTTCCCACCTCTGTACTTTCCTCCCATGGAATACTAACTTCTATTTGCATTATGTCACTTTACTTAAAAAATTTTTTCTTAAGTATAATTGCTATAAAATCTTATATTGGTTAGATTAGTTTCAGCTGTACAATATAGTGATTCAACATTTTTATACCTTACAATAGGAGGTATAAATGGGCAGAAAACATTTCTCCAAAGAGGACATGTAAATGGCCAACCGACGTAGAAAAGATGTTCAACATCACTAATCAGGGAAATGCAAATCAAAACCACAATGACATACCACCTCACACCTATCAAAATGACTATTATCAACAAGTCAACAAAGAACATGTGTTGGTGAGGATGTAGAGAAAAGGGAATCCTTGTGCACTGTTTGTGGGACTTCGAACTGGTATAGCCCCTATGGAAAACAGAATGGAGAGTCTTCAAAAATCTTAAAATAGATGTACCATTCAACCCGGCAATTCCATTTCTGGATATTCATTCGAAGAGAATGAAAACCTAATTCAAAAAGATACATATCACTTTACTTTTATAAGCACTTCTTATGTAAACTGTCTTATTTGATATAAAGTTCCTGTCAATTAAACAAGGTAGGTATGACTGCTTCTCATTTTCAAATAGGGAGAAAAAGACTCAAAAAAGAATGAGTAACCTGTTCAAGGTCACAGGAACCATAAGTTGAAGAACCAGGTCTCCTAGTGTTCTTTTCAACTCCATGCTTATGAAGCAGTACAGTAATCCTCCCTTAACTGGGGTTTCACTTTCCACTGTTTCAGTTACCCACAGTCTGAAAATAGTAAATGAAAAATTCCAGGAATAAACAATTCATAAGTTTTAAATTGAGCACCATCCTGAGTGGGGGGATGAAATCTCACTCTGTTGCAGCTGTGATGTGAATCATCCCTTTGTCCAGTGTATATATGCTATATATGCTATCCACACATTAGTCACTAAGTTAGCAGATCAATTGTCACAGAATTGTAATGCTGTGTTCAAGTAACCTTTATTTTACTTAATAATGGCCCCAAAGCCATTCACATAACTTTTATTATAGTATATTATTATAGTTTTATTATTTAATGTTATTAATCTTACTGTGCCTAATTTATAAATTAAATTTTAACATAGGTATTAATGTACAGGAAAAAACATAGTAAATATGGGTTCAGCACTACCTGCAGTTTCAGGCATCCACTGGGGTTCTTGGAATGCATACCCTATGGATAAGAAGGAACTACTGTACTGCAGTGTTAGAGTCTAAGCTATAAAGTCAGGACAGATAGAGATTCCTGTGCGGGCCTAGCCACTTACTAGCTGTGTGCCTAACCTCCAGATACCTTAGTTCCCTCATCTATAAAATAGAGATAATAGTACCTCTCTCAAAAGATAATAGTACCTCTCTCAAAAGAGATAATAGTACCTCTCGTTGTGAGGATTAAATAAGTATTTGGCATAATATCTGGTACACAACTACCAATATTATTTTGGTACTAATATTATTGGTATTATTATTATTAATGGCTAGGTTTATACCAATTAAAAAAACAAACTGCATATGAATCAAGCCTAATCTTTTTTTAAAAGCAAATGTTTTCTCCTTTAATCTCAAATCACATCGAATCCATTAAATTTCCTATATTTATGGAACATAGGCATGGATTCCCGAGGTATTTTTCAGAAACTTCCTTCTTTTGGTCGTCCCAATCTCCATTATATTTAACTGCCTGTTTTTGGCCTTAAAAAAAACAAACAAACAAAACTTTACATTTATAAGTTTAATGAGAACTAAGTTGTGAAAAGTGAAGTCTATTTTCTCTCCCCTTTTACTTCTTTCTAGAAGTGAAATGCTCAACTCAAAACTATGAAATTCCCTTCTCTGATCATAACTTATCCTTTCACCTTAATAACTGACCTCAAATTTGTTATCTACCTTTTTAAATATTAATATGTCATTCCCAATTCCACTATTAGAGCTGTCTCCCAGCTTCGTTTACTTCCAGTTCTAGTCTAGATACGCCAATTTTGGTTTTGGTTTTCATCTAGATTCTAAAACCAATTCAGTCAGGCATTTCAATGATCTTTTATTAGCACCCCAAACTCTTCCCTATTCCTTCTTTGATCTTGTCTATTGAGAAATCCATAATTCCAAATCCATAATTCGAGATTATTCTCTGAGCCTCACGAAGAGACAGTAACAAAACATTGGTAACTAGATTACAGTGAGTTCATTTAACCTGTGTTTTATTACTGCTTAACCACCCTTAAAAGTTTTCACTCTGCTCAGGCCTTTCACTAAGCCCCTCCCACTTCCCAAATCAATCTATTTAGCAAAAATTTTTGATGTGCTAGGCACTGTACTAAACTGTTTTATTTGAAACATCTCATTTAATTCCACACGATTTGCACTATTATGATTATCCCCATTTTAAAGATGAGAAAGCTGAAGTCTGGTTAAATAAATTGCCAACCTGGTAACTGAGAGAGCCAGGATTTAAAGACAAATCTGTCTCAGTTTAGAGTCAGGTTTTAAACATTCTGCTACATGGCCACACAGTAAGGTTCCCTTAAACCAATCCTATTAATACTTATAAGCTTAAACAGAAAAAGTGTCTCCCAATTCAAATACCCCAATTTACACTGTATATGCAACCTTAACCTCTGCCGGCTCTTTATCTCTTATCTTTCACATACTAGTCTCCACAGCTAGTCTATAAGCTGAGAGCAAGCACCATGATTAGCATAGTATTTGGCACAAGTGTTCATGCTCAATAAATACTTGTCGAAGGAATGATTATTCAAAAGACTTGTTTTGGGAAATCTGAGACTTAACAATCTAGATGAAAACCAAAATCAGTTTCCTATCCTTAGGTTAGACAGGGGCTTTTTATCAAGCCCTAGGATTTCATCATCAGTTCTATTTTTTGTTTCAGGATCACTTACAAGGATTAGAGAGTCAAATGCCATATTAGGAATATGATTTGAAAAAACTTCAAGAGAAATAAGACCTGCATTCGACTTTAAAATCTTGCTTTTTCATAACTTAAATTTGTCTTAAAGAATAAATATAGCTCAAAAAAAGGGTTATGCTAAAATCTTCTGATTAACATATATCAGAGAACATTACTGGAAAAGAAACATATAGAAAAAAGCTATAGTCAGTGGTTCTCAAGTAGGGTGGTCCACTGCCCACAGTGAAGAAGGGCATGTGCAGTTTGGAAATGACTGGGAACTACCAGGAGTTAGTAAACAGACAAGGATGCTAACTGTCCTGCAACATATAAGACAGTCCTATGAGCCTCACTGAGAAATAATGCACTTGACTAACATTCCCAAATACCTGATGCCATTTCTTCAGTTTGTCTCTCCTTCTCCTCTTGTCTTTTTTCATCTTCAGCATTAAGAAGTGCTGACACAATATCATTAACTGTTTTGTAATTCTCTCCAGTTGTTAGGATTTTACTCTGAACTGTCTGTTTTACCAGGCTTCTGCTAAAGCCCATTTCCAAAGCAGCTTTAACCACAGGTGTATTCATCATGACTGCATCTTCTGAAGAACTTTCTCCAGGTCCAAAATGAACAACTAGTTGAAAACACATTTAACAATGTTAAATTCCACAAATATAAAAACATGTGGAAAAATAATGACTATGACATAGTCTTTACTCTCATGCTGCTTATGTATCCTGGTAAGGGAGATGAGCGAGATGCACCAACTACCTATAATCCCAACAAAAGTTTGAACTTGATCAGGATCAAACTGGGGTTAAATAATATGCTGTACTATTTTAAGATACCACTTCCCAAGCTATATTCCAGAGCTGCTTAATGAAATAGTAGGGATGGGGCTTAGGAATCTGTATCTTTTAAATGATTCTGATGTAAAGTTATTTTAGAAACCAATATGCTACACAATTTACAAGTATGAAATTAACTTACTTAAGCCAGGAAAGTGGGGGAAATCAACAAAGACTTTATGGAAAAGGTGGCATTAGAGCTTTGACTTGAAGATGAACAGAATCTAAAGAAATGAAAGATGAAGCAGCAAGAGTAACAGAGACAGGAAGTACAGTAAAATAGAAGACTGGTTCACAAAAATATATATATATGGTTAAAGAAGTAAACAAAATAATATGATTTCAGATTGTGACAGATGCTCTCAAGTATAAGGTGTTTAAAACAAACTAAGAGGCAAGAAGACAATTTAGATAGGGTGATCATGGAAGCATTTTCTGGTAAGAGGGTCAATGATAGCCAATATAGTACTCTGTGAAAATTACAAAAAGACATCATTCTTTAAAACAATTTACTGCCATCTGCTGGAAAACTGATATAATAAACATATAAATATGCAATGGCTACAAAGTGTATGTACTATGCTCCCTTGCTCAAATGTATGTGGGAACCCTATCTTAAGAAATGATACTAGAACAAATACTTGAGTGATAAAAAGGAGTGAGCTATGAGAATATCTAAAAGAAGTCTTTCAGGCAAAGAAAACAGCAAGTGTAAAACCTTAAGTCAACAGTAAAGCTTGATATATTCAGGAAAAGTGAGAGAGGAAGGTGATGCACACATCATACAGAGCCTTGAGAGAAGTTTATATTTTATTCTAAGTTTGCCAGACTATTCTAAAAGGGTTTTAAGCAGGCGACTAATAAAATCTGACTTCTTTTTCATAAGATGATTCTGGCAGCTTGGTAATAAACTTTAATAAATTAAAATAGAATCCGGGAGACCTGTTAGAATACTATAACATAAGGTGACAGCAGGTTGGATTAGGTTGGTAGAAGTGGAAAAGGAGAAAAATGGTAAGATTTGGGGCATATTATAGAGATGAAAGGCCTTCCGATAGATTAAATATACGAAGTAAAGAGAGGAATCAGGAATAATGCCTAACTTGAGTCAACTTTTGACATTTGCAAGTGGGTACCATTAACTGAGATGGGGAAGACCAGAGAAGGAGCATCTGAGGGCTAAAGGACAGGGAGAAAATGTTTGCTTTGGTCATATGAACTCTGACATAACCGTTATAACCAAGCAGAAACTTAAACAGGTAGTTAGTTGGACAAGCCAACCTGGATTTCAGAAAATGGAGAAATAAACCTGGGCTGAGCACTGAGAGGTATTACAGCATTTAGAGGTCTGAAAAAGGAGTAGTCACCAAATGAGACTATTCATAATCAACCAGGGAAATAGGGAAAAACCAAGAGTGTAGTGTCTGGGAAGCCAAGATGTCTTAAGAAGAAATGAAGGAGAATGACGTCAGCAAGACTGCCAAATAAGATCTTTCCTGTTCATATACCCCATTAAAAACAATTTGGAATCCATCCACGGACAAAGTGCCTTTGTGGGAGCTTTGAGATCCAGCCAGAAGATATGAAACCTCAATGCAATCCAAGACCAAGGAGAGCTGTCTTAAGACAGGCCAGTAACTGAGCAGCTGACTCACTGACCATGGTCCTGCCTACAGACTCAGAAACAACTTCATACCCTTCAGGTCTTGGCTATAATCCCATTTAACTTATTCTTGTCACCAACACTACACAGCAAAAGAATGGAGAGGAGCCGGGTCCACCCTGCTTTGGGTAAAAGGCATACAGACCTCAGTACTGGCTGTGGACATTAAAGTTGCCTATGAACTGGATCCAGCCATGGTCCAGGAGCCACCGGAGGTAAACCCACCAGACTGCTCCAACCCATCCCAGCTGCAGTCCACAGTCCTGCTGGCACAGGGACCCAACAAGTGACACTCCCAATAGCACCCAGAGGTCCTAAAATAGTCCTATACTTGACTCCAGTCTCTCTCAGCCCCAGTCCACAGCAGTACTGCTAGCCAGGGACCTGGTGGGAGACACTTTTGTTTGTACCTCAGGAGATCCTAAAACAACTTCAGTCTTCCTAACCACAGTTAGGGAGCATTCCAATCCACTGAGGGACCTCATAGGAGCCATGCCCATCCATGATTCCAGAGCTAGGTCTACAAGACCTCAGTCTTGGCTACAGAACCTGAAACAGCTCTGAGGATCGGTTCCAGCCCCTCTCAGCCATGGTCCAGAGCCCATCCTGCCCATCAAGGGACAAATCCAGTGTCTAGACAGGAGCCCTCCCAGGGACCTGGAGGGAACCACATTCATCTGCATATCTGGCAATAGGCCCACCGTCTGGAACCCAACTGTGGACACTGAAGCAGACCACTGTCCCAATAATAGCCTACTGAACAATGTACTGGAGGTAGTCCCATCCACCAAGGGACCAGATATGATCCACACCAGCCCAAACTCTTGGTAATAAGCCCACCATGCATCCCACCACAGACCCAGCAATAGCGCCTTGTAACAGCTTCAAACAAGCATGACTGCAATTCCAGAAGTAATTCTGTTAGCCAGGGGACCCTACAGAAGAAGAGCTTTACCTGCCAAAACCAGTCTGTAAAGAATAGAAGAGATGCATGCTCCTTCACATGCAGAGACAGCAAGGCAAGGCAACATGTATCATGCAAATCAGGCAAGTATGACCCGCCAAAATAAACTAATAATGTTCTAGTAACCAACTCAAGAAATGGAGAGCTATGATTTGTCTGACAACTGATTTGCCTGACAACAAAAATAATCATCTTAAAGAAACTCAATGAAATTCAAAAGAACGATAACTAAACAAAATGAGGAAAACACATGAACAAAATTATAAGTTTAATAAAGAAATAGAAACCATAAAAAAGAACCAAACAGAAATCCTGGAGCTTGAAGAATACAATGACGGAACTGAAAAATTCGATAGAAAGATTCAGTAACAGACTTGGTCATGCAGAAGAAAGAATCAGAGAACTCAAACGCAGAGCATTTAAAATTAGCCAGTTATAGTAACAAAAAGAAAAGAGAATGAAAAGAATGAAGAAAGCCTATGCGATGATAAAACACTATCAAATAAATGAACACTCACATCATGGGAGCCCTAAAAGAAGAGAGTGTGAAAGGGGTAGAAAGTAAAGAAATAATAATTTTTTAAAAAAGAAGGAAAACTTCCTAAATCATAGATATCTAGGAACAATAAGCTCAAAATACCCCAAGCAAGATCAATCCCAGGATTACTCCAAGGCACATAATTAAAATGTTAATAGTCAAAGATAAAGAAAGAAGTTTGAAAGAAGCAAGAGAAAAACAACTTGTCACAAATAGGGAACCCCCTAAGGCTATCATCAGATTTCTCTGCAGAAAACCTACAGGACAGAAGAGACTGACTTGATATGTCAAAGTGCTAAAAGACAAAAACTGCCAAGAATACTTGCAAAACTGTCCTTCAGAAGTGAAAGAGAAATAAAGACATTCCAGATAGACAAAAGTTCAGGGAGTCCATCAATACTAGACTTGCTTTACAAAAATTGATAGAGATTTTTTCAAGTTGAAATGAAGGGATGCTAAGTAACAGCATGAAACATATAAAAGTGTAAAACTTACTGATAAAGGTAAATACAGTCAAAATAAGAACACCCTATGCTGTAACAATGCTGTGTAAATCACTTTTATCTCTAGTACAAATATTAAAAGACAACAATAACTATAGCTACAATAATTTGCTAATGCATAAATATGAAAAGTTATAACATATAACATCCATATTGTAAAATGTGGAGTAAAGAGAAGTGAAAATGTAATTATTCTATATGATCGAGGTAAACTGTTATTAGCTTAAAATAAACTGTTATAATTTTAAGATATTTTATGTAAGTCTCATGGTAAACCCAAAGAAAAATTTATCAGAAAGGAAGACAGCAAAAAAAGAACAAAGAAACTTTAAAAAGTCAGAAAACAATTAAAATTGTAACGGTAAGTCCTTAACTATCAATAATTAGTTTAAATGTAAACAGACTAAATTCTCCAATAAAAAGACACAGAATGGCTGACTGGATTAAAAACAAAAACAAAAACTGTACTGGAGGTAGTCCCATCCACCAAGGGACCAGACCACACCAGCCCAAATTCTTGGTAACAAGCCCATCATGGATCCCACCACAGACCCGGCAAGAGTGCCTTGTAACAGCTTCAACCAAACATGACTGCAATTCCAGAAGCAATTCTGTCAGCAATTCTTTTACCCACTGAGTATTCTTGGCTCCCTTGTCATGTATTAGTTTTTTCAATAAATGGTACTGGGAAAACTGATATGCACATAGAGAAAAATGAAAATAGACTATCTTATAACATTCATAAAAATTAACTCTAAATGGATTAGAGACTTAGATTTTGAACCTGAAACTATAAAACTCCTAGAAGAAAAGAGAGAGAAAAAGCTCCTTGACATTGGCCTTGGCTATGATTATTTGGAAATAACACCAAAAGCACCAGCAACAAATGCAAAAATCAACAAGTTGGACTACATCAAATTAAAAAGCTTCAGCACAGCAAAAGAAACCATCAACAAACTGAAGAGGCAATCTACAGAATGGAAGAAAATATTTACAAACTATGTATCAGATAAGGAGTTAATATCAAAAAATAATATAAGAAACTCATACAACTCAATAGCAAAAAAACCAAACTACCTAATTAGAAAATAGGCAGAGGACCTGAAGAGGCACTTTTCCAAAGATATACAAATGGCCAATAGGTACATAAAAAGATGCTCAACATCACTAATCACTAGGAAATGCAAATCAAAACTACAATGAAATATCATCTCGCACCTTCAGAATGGCTATTATCAGAAAAAGACCAGAGATAAGTGTTGGCAATGCTGTGGAATAAAGGGTACCCTTGTGCAATGATGGTGGGAATGTAAATTGGAGCAGCCATTATGTAAAAAAGTGTGAAGGGTTTGTTCCCAGGTTTCGGCACCAAAAAAAAAAAAAAAAAAGGGTTGAGGTCGCACAAAAAATTCAAAATAGAACCATATGATCCAGCAATACCACTTCTGTGTAAATATCTAAAGGAAAATAAATTACTATCTTGAAGAGATATCTGCACCCCAATATTCACTGTAGCATTATTCATAGTAGCCAATACATGGAAACAACCTTTAAGAGTCCATCAATAGACGAATGGATAAAAAAAAGTGACTACATGTACACATACATACAGTGGAATATTATTTACCGATAAGGAGGAAATCCTGCCACTATGATGAAATGGATGGACCTTATAAGAGAAATAAGTTATAAGTTCTGCAGATCTAACATACAGCACAGTGACTATAATAATACTGAATTGAATACTTAGAAGTTACTACAAGAATTTTAAATGTTCTCACCACAAAAAAAATTGTGTGAGGTGACGGATGTGTTAACTAACCTTAATATGATAATTATTTTGCAATGTGTATCAAATTATGCCAGTGTATATCTTAAACTTACGCAATGTTGTAAGTCAATTATATCTCAATAAAGCTGGGGGGAGGATGAAATACTCAACTGTTTCAAATGCGGATAACAGGTCAAGTAGTGGATTTGCTAGGATGGTGGTTCTTGGCGACTGACAAGAATAGTTTTTTTTTTTAATCTTTTTTTTATTATGGTGACACTGGTTGACGAAAACAAGAATAGTTTTTAGCAGAACAAGTTAAAAGAAGAATGGAAGATGAAGAAGAAAGTATGCACAGATAAATCTCTCTAGGCTTTTTGTTGTAAAAGGAAGCAGAGAAATGAGACAACCGTAAGATGGCAACATAAGTTCATGGAAATGTTTTGTTAGGACTGGCAATAGTATGTTTGTATGCTGAAATAAATGATTCAAGACAGACTTAAAGATCCATTATGTAAGAGAGGGTAGACTACTGCCAAAGCAAAGTTCTTAAGTTGACACTAGGGGATGAGATTCAGAGGAAAGAGGACAAGTGGAAGAGTTGAACTTAGATAAGGGCAAGGACAATGCAGTCTTCATAAAAGAACAGAAAGCAGAGTATATGAGTACATTACATAGACTGGTGGTTTTGCTGGTGAGAAGATTAAGTAGTTCTCTTTTGATTCTTTTATTTTTCTCAGTGAAATAAGGTTATGAGCTAAGACTAAGGTAAGAAAGAGAGCGTTAGAAACTTATGGAGAGTCTATGGCCATGCTACCCCCAACAAGCCCAATCCCGTCTGATCTCGGAAGCTAAGCAGGGTTGGGCCTCATTAGTACTTGGATGAGAGATCACCTAGGAAGACCAGGTGCGGTAGGCATAAAAAATAAAAAAATAAGGGATTGTAAGCTCACAAGGTCCTTGCAATCTGTGAGGTCAACCTAGGCTTGCCTCACCTAAAAAAAAGAAAAAAAAAAAAAAAGAAACTTATGGAGAAAATGTGAAATAGTCATTTGGAAGTTTAGCACAGTGATTGTTATTAGGGAACTGCAGTAGGAATGCAGGACAGCCCAGTAGAAAGCTGTTGCTACAAATTTAAAGTAAGAACAGTCAGCACTACTGTCTTATCTTTTCCAGTTCTATTATACAGGAGACAGTTATCATATACCCATGTAACTATTTTTCTTTTCCAAGTAGCTACTGCCAACCAAATTCTCAACAACCCTCCTAAGCCATGGTTTGTAGGATTCTTATACATCTTATTCACCTTTTTCTGGTTCTGCTACAAATTTGCCAGTATCCCTCTTTGAAGTGATGTGCCAAGAACAGACCAACCCATCCTAAACATTATTAGTGTAGAAAACAATGGACTACTATCTTTACTATTTTGGACACCATAACATATGTACATTAATACATTAACTAAATATCAGATGTGGCGAAAATTAAATACTAACCAGAAGATATATTTCCTAGCCTTGCACTATAATACTATTTACCTGGCAAGTACCTAACATCTAGCCCCAATTCTTAAATCCTATGTGAACTGGGACTTTTCAAATATACTAGCTTACAGCAAACAACTTTTCCTCCTTGGAGGGCTTATTTGCACCTTTCATTGGTATTCTTTAAACTATTTGTTATCATTGTTTTTCTTTTACATGTGTTTTGTCTCCCTGGTTGGAATGTCAGCACTTTAAGAATAGTATAATTCCAAGAATCTTCTAATGGTGTCATTAATCTTAACAGACACATAACATTTATTAGTTAACTTCCCAACCTTTTCTTCCTATGACCTCAGAAATCCTTTGTTACATATTTTTCATTCTTAACATTCTTACAAAAATTTCCATTCTATATATTTTCGTACATACTTGGTGGATCAGCATTTTCATCTCTAGGAGTGTCCGAAGTTGACAACAGCTATCAAACAGGAGAAAAATTAATAGGTAAAATCAGAAATCTCAAACAACCTGAACAAAGCAACATTATGATAAGTTTCCATTAAGTACTGCACAACTCTTTTGAAAACTAGGTAATTTATATAATACTTCACTTTGCTTTGTTTTATACCTTAATCATCATAAAAATTTCCTTACACTTCATCTACTTCCAAATTGAATTCAAGTATTTCTATAGTTTCAGGAAAGTAAAAAAAAAGCATTAATGATTTCTCATTCCATTCAGAAAGTGATATTTCAGCCAGATCACCCTCAGAGGTTCCAAATTCCTGACAACGTATTTTTTGTTTATTTTTCTGAAAAAGATGGAGGGACACTAAAGACCCTACTCCAACTCTACCACAAATTGTATAGTAAGTACCATGTCAAGTGATTTTCAAAAAGTAATTTTTTTAAAAAGCTTTGAACAAACAAGGTAGTTACAAAAATAAAAATTAAATGTGTCATTAATATGCTTACAAAACCTAACTATAATAAGAAAACAGATGTAAATATCATTTCTAGTGATATTTTTGTAATTATTATTTAGGAGAATCTGATATTGCCAATTATAAAAAGTTATTTACCTGTTCAAGAAGATAAGGATATCTTGCTTGAATCTCATCAACAAACTCCTGTCCTTTCATGCGTATCAAGAACTCACACCTAAACATTAAAAGAAAATTTGTTTGTTTGTTTTATACCAAAAATATAACCCGATCATTCTAGAAAAGTGGCTTTCCGATATTTTCTATTTAATTCCATTAACACAATAACAACAATAAAAGAGTCTAGACCTACAAAGGATCACAAACTGAGGCTTAAAAAATGCTATTCTAGACAATTTACTTTGGGGCTTAACATAGTCTCAGAAACTATAATTCAGTATTCCTAAAATATTATCTTCACAATATAATAACTGCTAATCTTTCCCCAGTGTCCACTCTTCTATATTTGAAGCACAAACCCTTCTTCCAAAAAATAATGAATCACATCTTTTCACCTATATATAATTTAACAGTTTTCCCAAATACTTGTTTTCAAACTACTAGGAAGTTCACATCACATCTGTTTCCATTTCATTCCTTTGTTTTTCAATCTATGGTGCTAGACAACTAGATATCCATGTGCAAAAAACAATGAACTTCAACCTATGTCCATACAAAAATAAACTAAAAATGAATCATATATAAATGTAAAATGTAAAATAATATAACTTCTAGGAGAAAACACAGGAGAAAATCTTCTTTGTCCTTAGTTTAGGTACATATTTCTTAGATAAGACACCAACAGCATAATCTATAAAAGATAGAAATGATAAACTGACATTGACAAAGTTAAAAACTTCTGTTCATCAAGACAGTTAAGAAAATGAAAAAATAAGCCACTGACTCAAAGTCTGCAAAACACATCTGAAGGACTGTATCCAGAGTACATTATGAACTTGCAAATATTAAAAAAAAAGAAAACTTAAAAATGGGCAAAAGATTTGAATAGACACTTCACAAAGATGTATAGATGGCAAATAAGAAGCTTACCATCATTAAAAATTAAACTACTTAAAATCACAGTGAAATACCACTATGTACACATCTCTTAAAATGGCTAAAGTAAAAAAAGACTGACAATACCAAGTGTTGTTAAGAATTTTGAAAACCTGGAGGTGTCATACACTGCAGGTAGAAATTTAACATTTTAAGTGGTACAGCCACTTCAGAAGACAATTTTGCAGTTTCTATAAAGTTAAAAACAAAATTTGCCATACAACCCACCAATAACACCTACAAGCATTTCCCCAAAATAAAAACATGTGTCCACAAATGTTTATTAATGTTTAGAGCAGCTTTTATGCATATTGCTCCAAACCAGAAACAACCCAAATATACCTCAACTGGTGAATGGGTAGAATTTAGTAAAGATCCTATAAACATGCTCAAGACAAGTTTATCACCCAAATAACACAGCTAGCTAGTTGTCATTGTGTTTTGATCTTTATAGTTAAAAAAATTTTTTTTTCTGGGACTGATTTATAGTAATAATGATTAAAGACAGGAAGTATAATAAACCCTGACTGCCCCTTCCGCCAATAAAGTCCACGGGGACAGGGATTTTTGGATTTCTTTGTCTTATTTACTGTTATATATCCTCAGCATCTAAAATAGTATCCAGTAGGCACCCAAATATTTGATAAATGAAATATGTTAAAATATACTGATAACAATTATCAATTTTGGTTTTACTAAAATTAAAGACAATTCACAATTAAAATTTGTTTTCAGAAGTGTTCACAAAAAAAAGCACTCCTAAGCTTTTTCCCTTATTTAACCATTTAAAACAAAACACAAATTACAGAAGTAAGCCAAGATTTTGTTTTGCTTTATAAAGGACAAAATGCAGCAGTTCAAACACTGGAAATGGAAAGCTGTTTTCGTCTTTTTCATACAGTATTAATTTCAAATTATATGTACACAACCCCATAAAACCAAACATTAAGTCATTAAAAAT